AGGCTCCAGGTGCCTCCAGGCTCCAGCTAGCCTCCAGCTCCTACCTCAGGCATCAGCCATTTGCCTCCCAACACGGGTGGCCCAGGCCTGCGTACCACTCACAACGGCTCGGTTACTCTACACGTCCCTCGCTGGGCCCCATTTCCTGGCCTGCAAAATGATGTTGATAATCTCTTGCATACAGGGTGGTTGTGCAATACTGGCCATCCAGTGTCCACCACAGTGCCACTTGCACTGGGGGAGGTAGAAGCCCCCGAGGCTGGAGATCCAGGGGGATTGGAGACTTGGACCCCTTCCCAGGTAGAACCTGACCTCAGGAGACACAGGGTTACACAGGGTAAGCAGCCTCCCAGAGCGCCTTGTGCTTGAGCGTGCGGTGGAGGCTGTGGAATGATTGTGCCAGCCCCTTGAGGTTCCCTGAGGCCCACAGGGGCAATTGAGGGAATCTGGAGTGCCCCAAACTGAGAAAAGGCCAGACCCACAGAGGCTTAAGGGTGGGGATCAAAGGAGCAGGTGGTGGGAAGGCAGGAGGTAGGGGAAAATGACCAAAGGGTCCAATGCTAACCTAGGACCATGGTGGGCACCACAGGCCCAGTGCCAGGGTCCAGGAGCCCTGCGAGAACCCACAACAATGTTTGCAGCCAAGCGGTAAAAAAAGTAGCAGAACACCAAAAGGCAAAAGAAAGAAAAGACAAAAATCAAAATGAAGAAAATTTAATTAAATATCTACAAGACATTGTCAAGTAATTAACAGAACCCAGCTCAAGTAGGTATATGTGAACGACCTTTAATGTGGAATTTTTATGAGTGATAGGATGAGGGAATTCAGCTTCTAAAATTCAAAGTGCCAGGGGCCTGCGTAGGGTCTTCAAATGTACCATCCCCAAAACTTACATGTCTCCCTGGGGAAGGGAGGGGTCCCCAAATTGACGTCAGATTACTTTTCTGTCAGGTGGGTTAATGAGAAAGCAAAAGAGAAAGTCAGTCAGTTACAGGAAAGTGAAGTGATGTTCCTCGCACACGTTCATTTGTAATCGGAGACCCTGAGTCACTGCAGAGGTCACTGTGCAATGCTGCCCTCAGCCTCTTCATCCCTGGGGGGCTGGCGGGACTCACCGGACCCTCAAAGCCCCTGCACATTTCAGCAGTTGGTTTGCCAGCCTCCCATTCTTTCACAACTCTGGAGCGAAGATCTGCTACCCCTTCTTCCTCCAGACCTACGTGAGTTAATCAAGGTGACTTTAGGGAATGAAGCCAGAGCGCTGGGCTCAAGCCCAGCCCCACCTCGGCCCCACTGTGTGATCCTAAGCAGTTCCCATCCTCCCTGTGGCCAAGCCTCAGTCTCTCTGTCTGTGAAATGGAATAATAATGCCTACCAGGGCTGCCATGCGGACCAAGGAGGCCGCAGCTGTGTGAGACACTGCTTTTTAAACAGACTGGACTGCATCGGGATTTGACTAACAAAACAAAACCAAAGGAAAAAAGCTTTGCTGAACCCGGGAGTGGGGTTTCACAATCGACCCTTCTGAGCTATGTCTGGGGAGGTGAATTTTTATTTTTCCTCATGGTCTTTTTGCCAGGGTTCATCATCTCCTCTTGCCCCAAACAGCGTAAGGAGGTACCAGAGCCGCAGTGGTGGGGAAGCAGATTGGGGTGGGCTGGGGGTGGGTGAGGGAGCCAAGCTGGCTTGGCTCCTAGAGGACTGAGTCAGCGGGCAGGCAGGCAGGGCGGGCCCAGTCCTCGAAGGCTTGGGGAGGAGATGGTGCAGGAATGTTCCTCCCGCCCAGGCCTGGGCCCTGCCCACCACATTCTGGCTCCTGCTCTCTGATGCTGCAGCCTCAGCTCTGGCTCCGAAGATGGGAGATGCTTGGAGCTTTGTTGAGTAGGTTCAGCCAGGGGCCTTCAGAGGCAGTCTGGCCCTGGGGACTGACCCAGGGGTGGGCAAGGCCAGCCCAGAGCCTGATGGGAATTGGGCTCTGACCCTAGAGCAGACCCCCGCCCCACTGGGTGATGCAGCCAAACGCCACCGCTCACTAAACCTCAAGTTTCCCGTCTCTGCAACGAGGAACTGAACTTGGTGGTGTCAGATGAGGGATGATCGCGGCTGGCTCCCCCAGGAGGCGGTGCAGGTGGAGTCCAAGAGCATCTACATCTGTGACACATTGGCCATGTGCATGTGTGACTTCACGGCCGTGTGTGTCTGAGTGTGTGTGTCGCTACGTGAGTGTATGACCGTGCACAGTACTATGGTATGGCTGTGAGTGACGACGTGGCTGAGACTGACAACATGTATGTGGGCGTGGACGAGCGTGGACGTGGCTGTGAATGTGTGGCAGTCTGTGGCACTGTGGCTGGGAGTGCAGTTGTGCAAGCACATGACCGTGCATACGTGTGTGAGTGTGGAGCCTGGTGTGACCTGTGTGCTGCACGCAGGTTGTATGGCTCTGTCTGCTTTGGGTTGGGCAACTGCGTCTGTGACCAGGCCTGGCTCTGCTACAGCCGTGGCACAGCTGTGGCATGGTGGTTCATGGCACTCCTGTGTCCAGGAAGCAATAGGATGCAGAATCTGAGGGCTGCCTCCATCCCCAACCCCCATATGTGGCCACAAAGCAGACTCCTTTCCTGGGCTGGGCCAAGACTGGGGATCAGAGGTCCCCCACCCCCCAGCTCCAGGTCCTGGTAGTTGCCCAGGGCAGAAAGAGAAGCCTTGTTTTCCACCCGCCTCAGGGAGGAAACTGGAGGCAGCTGGGCTCAGCTCAGTCTGGAACATCTGCCTGGCATGAGACTGAGGCCAGCCCGCAGGCCCAGCCACCACCAGGATACCCCCACACACACACTGGTCCCCAGTCCCCTGCCGAAAGAGGCTCCGCCAGCCCAGACAAATCTCGAATTCCCCCAACACTCAAACCCACACAGAGATAGAAAGAAACCAGAGAGAAGGGCTGTGACATCCTCACTTCCCATCACACGTATGTCTGTCCCCGCCTAGAGCCCTCAGGATGCCTGGAGGAGGCCTGGCCCATCCCCAAACTTCACGTTCTGATGCTTTTCCTAGGCACAAGCCCCTCCTGAGAAAAGCGTCAGACCAACCCCTCACCCGGAGGATGGAAGGCATGGGAGGTGGCCCCCCGCTCAAGAAAGAGACACAGGAGGGCAATACTATTCCCAGGGCAAGAAGAGTGAACAGGGGACTTTCCAGGCACTGTGTGTTGAGAAGAGCATTCCCACCGCCCCAGCGCTGACTGGGCCTGGGAAGGAGACCCCCACCGCCCTGCCCATGGTCAGAGCGCTCACTGCAGAAGGCCGCAGTGAGGTTGGAGCGGGGAAGAGGTTAAGGGTGGGAAGGTCCTCGGATGTGTTGGAAAATGAACGAAGGAGGGCAGGGAGGAGAGAAAGGAAAATTCCACAGAAAGTCCCAAATCTGACCTAATTTTGACCCAGGGCCAGGGGCCCATTCCAGAAGTTCCTCTGAGGACTCTCTGCCCTGAACAGGGAGCCTCTGCTGCCCCTTCCCCACTGCACCTGCCACCCCTTACTCTACCTCACCACCATGAGCTCCCCTGCCCCCAGCCCGGCCAAAGCCTCCCCTGATGTCCAGACCCCAGCAGCCCTCCCTCCACCAAGTCCCCATTGCCCCAAGAGAACCGCGGCCCCCCAGCCCTCCTCTTTCCCGTGTGCAAACAGATTCCTGTTCATCCTGCCTGGGACACCCCCAAGGGCACGGCTGGGGGGTCCACCTCAGTTTCCAACTGGGCAGCCACAGCAGGCCTGGGCAGCCTGGACTGGACGGCTTGGGGAAGAACACAGGTTCTGAGACCCACCCCCTCCCCTGGACTGGGGCTTTCCTGGGGGCAAGGCTGGGATATGCCCTCCCGGGGAGAGGAACCCCCTATCGATTAGACTGTCCCTTCCTCACGTGACCTTCCGTCCTAGATCACAGAGCAGCAGAGCCAAACCCCTGGCAAGACTCCACTCATTTGAGAGATGAGGACAGTGAGGTCTGGGAAGGGTATGCATCCAGCTGGGGTCCAGGGCCACCCAGAGGTCCCCAGCTAGCCCCTGCCTCCAGCACCGTCCTCCCCCCAGCTTCTGAGGTTCTGGGGTAAATGTTGTGCCCATCACGACCTCAGAATCTGGTCCAATCGCTCCCAGGGACAATCAGGGCTGTATCCTTCCCCACCCCCTCATCCCCCGCTGGGATCCAAATAAGGAGTCATATTTTTGTTATCTTAACTGTAAAAGGTTTATCAAGAAAACAAGAAAGAAAGAAGATTGAAGCAGCAGCAGCCAGGAACAGCCATGACCTCCTGGGGGGGGCCAGCAGTGGCACCTGTCAGTTCCCCCAACCCACTGCTGGACCACGCGCTGGCCTGGGGGTGTGGGGGGAGCCCCCTCGAGGATGTAAACATGGGTGGGAGACAGCACAATCCCACCAGGACCTGAACCGGCATCACAGTGAGGCTGGCTGTGGGCAGGTGGGCCGAGGGTCCCTGGGGTGGTGGGTAAGTTGGCCCCTGGGAGCCTGAGGCCCAAGCCTGCTTGGAGTGTGGGAGCTATTGCTGGTGAACTCAAATACCCGGTAACTTCTGGGTGTCCCCTCCAGAAAGGTGCCACCAGGGTCCTGGGATCCGAGGCCTGTCTTAGCACCTTGAGCCCAGGGCAAAGATGCTGCATGGTCCCCTAACCAAGGGGTGAGGGGGCTCAGCTGGTGAAGGGGAGTCAGGAGGGAGTTGGCCTGCAGCCCCTCCTGTGGGCGGGGGGGGGGGGGGGGGGGGGGGGGGGGGGGACAGGGGCATGGGAGCAAGGCAGATCCCTCCCCTCTGTCACACAAGGGGACACCACTGAGGGGTGCACCAGACTTGCTTGGGAGGGGCTTCCCTGGTGGCGCAGTGGTTGGGAGTCCGCCTGCCGATGCGGGGGGCGCGCGTTCATGCCCCTGTCCGGGAGGATCCCGTGTGCTGCGGAGTGGCTGGGCCCATGAGCCGTGGCCGCTGGGCCTGCGCGTCCGGGGCCTGTGCTCCGTGGCAGGAGAGGCCACGGCAGTGAGGGGCACGCGTACCGCGAAAACAAACAAACAAACAAAAAACTTGCTTGGGAAAGGTAAAGGAGAGAAGACGGGGTCTTTCCATGCCTCCACAGCCTTGCCCATGCTGTTCTTCTCCTCTGAATGCCCTCCCCACCTACTGTCCCCACTTACTGTCCGGCAGGTCCTTGTCACTCTTCAAGACACTACGCCATGGAGTCATCCCTAACTGGCAGAACGAGTGGTCCCTTCTACGAGCTATTTACCATCAATCTTTCTGTACTGCCCCTGCCTGTTTCTGGGTCTGACCCCCACCTCAACTGCGGACTCCCCAAGAGCAGGCGTGTCGCGGCCCTGGATGCCCAGTGTCTGACCCGGGGCCACAGCAGGCCTGCGCGTCTGCTGAATGAATGAGGGGATGGTGGCCAGGTGAGCGAGCGCTATAGGCTCTAGGGGAAGCTAAGACCCTGGCCTGACCTCAAGTGACTGACCAGCAGCCCAGGCCTTGGCCTGGAGGGCTTCTGACCCCATTCTCACCCCTGCTGTGCCCCTATCTCTAAGGGGTGGGGGACTTCCCCAGGGATATCCATGACTCCTCCAAAGCCCACCCCTGACCAGCCAGGCACTGCTGGTGTGGGAAGGTCTGGAGGGCAGCATGCATCGCAGCCACCAGGCCCCAGGGGCGGGGAGAGGACCAGGGACACGTGGTCAGAGGCTGTCATACATGTGCAGCGTCTTCTCCAGCTGCTGGCCTACCCGCTGGTAGAAGAGGATCTGCTGGCGCAGGTAGTTCTGCATCATGTGCTTGAAGTCGAGCTCGCGGCGCTGGTGGAAGTGGTTCATCTCAGCCTGCAGGGCGAAGCCCACCACGCGGCAGCGCCTGCGAATGCCATCTGCCTCGTCCTGTGCCATGCGGCCCTCGTCACTCATGCGCTGGCTCTCCTTCACCTTGGCGAAGGCACCTGGCACGGGCAGAGCAGAGGACAAGGACAAGTTAGGGCTCCGGTCTCCCCAGTTCGCTCCCTAACCCCACGGTGAGACCCGGGTCCAGGCAGACAATACCCTCATCGGCTGAACTCAGGCCTCGCTCTTGGACTCCACGGAGTCCAGACCCATGGTCCAGCCGCCTGGGTGTCTCCACCAGGATGTCCACCAAACCCTCACCTTCAGCACATCCTAAACCAGATGCACCATCTTCCCTCCAAACCTGTGGCGACGCCAGCAGCCCACACCTGACCTGCCCTGCCAGCTGATTGATTTCTAGGACCAGGCCGTCCCCACCCACCACAGGCCTCGTCACCCCTCACGCTGGCTCCCCATTCACCTCCAACATCACCTCCTCCAGGAAGCCTTCCCTGCAGCCCCAGTACATCAGGTGCCTCCCAGTGCTCTCGGGTGCCCTGGGCTTCCCTCTGCCACAGCTCTTACCACCCTGTGGTTTCTCTGACCGCTTCCTTCTGGGCTGTGAGCTCAATGTCTCTAGCATCCAGAACAAAGCCTAGCCCACAGCCGATCCTGGTATGTGTCTGCTAAGCTGATTCAACCTCACTGGACTGCTACCATAGGCCCCTCATGGGCCTCCCCACCTCAGTCTCAGCCTCTGAGAGGTTCTCCATACCCACAGCTCCAAGCCTCCCCTGGCTTCCTTCTGCCTGCAGAGCTAGGTCCCCCATTCTCCTGGCCTGTGAGGCCCTCTGGGAGTTGACCCCTGCGCCCGTTCCACGCTGACCCCACGTTCATCAAATTCAGCTTTCTTTCCTACCTTCCTATCTCTGCCCCCTGGATCCCTACGCATAATGCAAGGCTCTGACGGGGTGCCGCTTCTACACGGAGCATCCCCCAGGCAGACCGCCTCCCTGTCTCAGCTCACCAGGGCTCTCCCCACCCCCATCACCCAGCCCATTCTAAAACAGAGCCTCAAAAGCCACCTGGAGTTTTCCTTTGTGTGTGTCTCCCCACATGTAGGCCCTGCTCCCTCCTCACCCCAGCCCCCAGGGGACTAGAGGAAGCCATTATAATAACCAGGTGACAGATGGGGGCGTCAGGGGATGAACCTGGGGAACGGACCCAATTTGGAAGAATGGGAATGAATCAACAAGCACTTGGTGAAAGAATGTCAGCTCTGAATTAACAGCACTCGACTGATTCCATGCTGAAGCCGGCGGGGGCAGTTGCTGAGGCGGTGAGGCAGTCTCCCTGCGCCTGGCAGGTACTCCTCGCAGGGCTGTAGGGAATCCACTGTGTGAAGAAGCTTAAGGAGGCGGGAGGGGTTGGCACGGAGGACAGCGCACTCCCCGAGCGCTTCAAAAGCATCCACTGCACACGAGTAACACGCTCATTTTTCATGTTTCCCACCTCTCCCTTAAGGAGGTCTCTCGTGGACCTTTGAAACGTGTTCCTTTTACTCCAAGTTGTTCAAATGCATCCAGGATGCATTTATGGAACATCTACCACAGGCTGGAAGTAACTCTGAACGCCTTTAGAAGGAGCAGCACCTATATTAGATGGCAAGTGTGTGGCTAACTGGCAAAGAGCGGCATTTCGGGCGGACAGACTCAAATTTGGAGCGTTTCCAGGGCTGCTCACACAGCACCTAAAAGAACTCTGCAGTCCCCAGCCCCAGCCCACTCAGTCCTTTTGCCACCTTCCTTGAACCACTTCTCGCCTCCTGTTCCATACCGACTGCCCAGGTCTGGGCAGCAGGAGAGGGATCACCCCAAGGCCCAAGAGGAGGACCCCTTGAGAGGCTTCGGAGCTGGAGTGGCCCTAGAGACTAGCTGTCCAACACCCACATCCACCCCTCACTCTCCACCCCCACACTGTGCAGAGGAAACTCAGGACCCGGCAGGAGGGCACTTGCCGAGGGGCTCGCAGCCTCTTTCCTGCTCCAAAAGTGGGGGATGCCTGGCCCAGAGGCATCCCTGCACAGCTGGGGGTAGACACCACTTCTACTGCAAGGAGCCTAGGCCAGGTCCCCCAGGCATATGTGTGGGGCATCCAGACAATGGACTTAGGAATTTGAGAAGGTCCCAAGGGGTAAAAAGAACCATAAGAAGCAAAGTAGGAAAGAGCAGGACAAAGAAACTAGAGTCAGGCTTCAGCAAAGGGCACCTACTAGCCTGGATTCCACCTTCCTGAGAAAGTCTGGGTGCGTTGGGGGTGGACTTGCATTTAAGAAAGCTTTTCTTGCCCATGGGCTTAGAGGAAGGAAACTGAGGCCCAGATAATAGGAATGAATCTATTGCAATTGCTAGGTATCCGCAGACAGGCAGGGAGCCAGAGATGGGGGGCAAAGGCTGTGGGGGAAGGGGGAGGCCCCACCCTGCTCCCTGTCACCCCTCCACCCTGTGACTCCAATGTTGGACTGGGACCAGCTAACATTAATGCACCCCAGAGACAGACTGGGACTCAGGGCTCAGGCCTGTCTCCCGTCACCTGACACATTCCACCTAGGACTCAACCTGAGAACTGAGGGCCCAGGGGCACCTCCTAACCTGGCAGTTGTCCTGTAGGCTGGGTCCCAGGAACAGGGAAAGGAGGGTTGGAGCTTCAGAGCCCCAGGGTCCCAGGCATATCCCCTAAACTGCCACCTTAATCTATCTTGTCCCTACCTCTTGGAGGTAGTTACCACCCACCCTAGGTTGAGGGCAGGAGGTCTGAGTCCTAATCCCACTGTGTCACCTCCAACAAGGGCTACAGGTCTCCCCACTGTCAAATGGGACATGTTGGACTAGATGTGATGCTGCTGACAATTGCTCACGGCGGAATAGCGCTTTAGAGTTTCCACATCAGTAAAATGGGATGATAATAGTACCCACCCTATAGTTATACCTGAGTTTAATTGAACTAATATGTTTAAAGTACTTAGGATGGCACCTGACAGAGTAAGAGCTCCCCTCGCAACTATGTGCGAACCGCTTTTCAGTCCCAGCCAAGACCCAGCTGGTGGTGGCTCCTGGTGATACAATTCTTTGTTCATCAGCGCCTAGGAGGGGAGGTAGAGGGAGAGCTAGATGATGGCCCAGAGCATAGAGGCTGGACCCACCTATTCCCCCAGGCAAGAACTTGGTCCTGCAAAAGGGCCACTTTGCCTTGGCCAACCTGAGAGCTCCATGGCCCCTCCACGCATGCTCTGTGGTCCAGGGCCTGCCTCCAGCCTGCGGAGGATGCCAGCTCAGTTGGTGCTAGAACACCCAACCCCCTCCCTGCTCCCTCCCCTTCTGGCTTGTCTACCCCAGGCACCCATCCCTTAGGGAGTTCCCTCCGCTATCTGTCTGGCACAGTAGAGACAGCCTGGCTGTGGAGTCAGAGACACCTGGGCTCCAGTTCCTGCTCTGATTATCATTCCTCCTCACTGCCCCTCATCTGAAAACAGAGGGAACCACACCAGTCTCCGCAGCTTGTGATGAGTCTTAGGACCGAGCCCTGCCCTGGCTGGCTCTCAGGCAGGGGCCCTGGACAGTCACTGTTGCCCCTTGTTGTCCCAGGGTAACTATTACTAAGGCTCTCTTTCACCCCCAAGATTGCCCTGGTTTGGATGGTAAATTACATGGTTGCCCTTCTCTTAGGACACCCCTAAAGTGCGCTCCGGGGGCTGGGCCAGTGGGCAGACAGGCTGCACCTCAGTGCGAACCAGGTTCCAGGGCCCATTTTCCTAAGTTTTCTGAGGCGAGGAAGCTCTTTCAGGGTCACCTCAGAGGCAACATTTGTCCAAATCCTGGTCTCCTGACCTCTCCTAGGCCTCCCATCTCCTTCCCTCCAAGGCCTGTCCCACATGCTTGCCATCTTTCAGATGTATGAACAGGCTGGACAGAATCCTGGGGACCCAGGGCCCAATTTTCTTTCTCCTTCCTCTGTGAAAGGGCTCCATCCACAGGGCCAACACGGGATCACCCCTCCCCCCATCAGGCTGTGGTTCCCCCAATTCTGTCTCAGCCAGATTCCAAGCCCGCCTCCCTAACTTGCCCCACCACGGGCCTAGGAGTGGCAGTGCAGAGCCCAGAAGGGGGAAGAGTAAGCCCAAAAGAACTTGGCTTATTGGGGAGGGGTCCTCCAGGTCTGGGAAGGTGGGGCAGCCTCTGCCTGAGGTTGAACACATCACCCCAGGCCCCTCACCTTAGAAACACCTCCAGTGGAAACTCAGAAGTGGCCTCTCTCAGCTCTGTCTCCCTGCCCCAGGGTCAGAAAGGCCAGTCAGGCTTTACTCCCTCCTGCTTCAGTGGGAGCCTGGGAGTATGAGTATGGGGTTGCCTTCCTGCCCCCTGCTCTGCCCTGGGTGAGGGTCCCCAGACACTGCATGGGGGCAGCTGTTTAATCACTATGTCCCTGCTTCCCCCCATCCTGCTGCCCACACAGGAACATGCCATCCAAGGAGCTGGTTGAACCAGCTTTCCCAGGCCGTAGCACAGCAGTGAGCGTGGCTCCACTTCCGCACAGGGTGACGCCTGCCCCAGTGGGCCCCAGCCACCAGCCCTGCCCAATCCCTGCCCAGAGCTCAGAGCCAGATCTAAGGCATCACTCTGTCCTCGACCAGACCCTCCCCAGGAGTCTCTCCCCTACCCACCCCTTTGAAGGCCTAAGAGCTCACTGTGTCCGCCCTCCCTTGTCTTACAGATCGGGAAACTAACTCCCAGAAAGGGGAAAGCACTTCCCAGGGACACACAGCAAACTGGGGGCAGAGCCAAGACCAGAACTCAGGCCTCATGTCTCCTGAAGCTGAAAGAAGGGAAGGAGGAAGAGAGGAATGTGGAGAAGAGAAAAAAACGGCAGAGAGGAGAAGGAGGAAGAGAAAGTGAGGGAAGAAAGGAGGCTGGGAGCTGGAGAAGTTCTAGAAGTTAACCTCCTGGTAAAGGAGAACAAGGCGGGTTTACTCCAGACTCTCCTGGGGACCAGGTAGTGTGGTGGTGTTTGCTGTCCCCCAGGCAGTCCAGAGGCCTGCCTCCTGGCCTCACCCAGAGGAAAACTCCCCACCAAGCCAGGCCTGACCTCAGGGCCTAGGGGCCTGGGAGCCAGCCCCACGCCCTGCAGACATTCTTCCTTAGTTACCAAGCAGCCCTGGGGAGGACCACACCTCTCTCCTGCCCTGCCTGTAGTCCCCAAGACTCAGCCACCTGCCGGGTCAGCTCCTGACTCACTGCTCAGGCAAGAAGAGAAGCCAGGCTGGGGAAGGCGGAATTGGATGGACCATGGGGGTAGTGCCCTGGACCCCCGCTTCCTCCCCCAACCCAGCCCGGCTGCCCCTAGGTGACCTGGCTATGAGTCACTTCCCTGGAAGTTCCTTGACAGCCCCACAGTAACAAGGACCCATCCTGTCCCTCCCGTAGGGAGGGGGCCGTGAGAACTGAACACATGGCTGGGCTTGGGAGGTGGCCGAGATGGATGTGTCCTTGGGGAGGTGCAGGAGGAAGGGGCAGCCCCAGCTGGGCCATGGACTCCTTGTGCAAGCACCATTCTGTGGACGCAGCTTCTTCATCTGCAAAATAGGGGCAGCCACCCTCCAGAACACAGATAGGGAGGGAGCTCACAGATAGGATATGCAGCGGTGAGAACAGCCTCTGCAGCTGCAAAGGCAGGGAGGCAAGCTTGTGACAAGTGGGAAGACAGGCTACACTCTGTGCTCCTGTTATCTGGGTCTGTGTCCATGACCCCTTGCGGGCTCCTCAAGGGCAAGTCCTGGGCCCCAGTCAGCTCCGTGTTCCCAGACCCCAGCCTGATATCTTGAAGGGCTCAAAGCATGATGGGTAAATGAGTAAATGAGACAGAAACAGAGAAAACGAATGAATGAATGAACGAACGAACAGACAACAAGAAGGTAAGCAGTGAACTCCATGAGGACAGGGATCAGACCTGCCCATAATAATATCCCTGCACCTAGAATAGCACCTGCCACCTGGTAGGTGCTCGACACACTTGTTGAACGTATGAATGAGACACAGACAGAAATTCTAGCTGCACCGTTCTGCTCGGTCTAGGCCATCTTCATACCCCCAGTGCCCAGCAGAGTGCAGATGCTGTAAGGATCTCCAGTCCACACTGGCTCTTACCTTTCTGCAGGTGGATGATGTCGGGGAAGTTGGAGAGCAGGCCCTGGTAGAGAGACAGCGTGTCGAGCATCTGGAAGAGGTCGTTCTTGGGCTGCTCGGCAAACATCTCACCCACGGCTTCATAGGTACGGCCCGTGTGAGAAATGGCGCTGTTGAGGGCTTCGGAGCTGAAGGGGGGGTCCATCTGGAAGGCATGACTGATGGCCTGGAAGGCATTGCCCAGCTTCTGGAATTCCTTGCGGAAGCCCCCCACATGCTTGCGCACCAGCTCCGATGCTACGGTGCTGAGCTGCAGGACGCTGTCGTCCATCTTCTTGCTGAAGGCTTTGAAGGTGTCCACACGGTCCTCCACATCCTGCAGGTCCTGGTGCTCCGTGGGGATCTGGAACGTGAGCAGGAAGCTGGCGCCCACCATCTCGTCCTTCTCGGCCCGGCGTTTGCCCATCTTCCACTGCTTGGCATCCAGGCAGCTAAGGAAATGTTGGAAGCCCTCGTACTGGGACAGCACGGGGTGGCTAGTCATGTGGTCCATCCAGAGGATGAGCCGCCGCTTCCGCTTCTCAATGAAGTCCTCCTCGAAGCGGCCTGTGGCCTGCTTCTCTGGCAGGTGGGGCACCGAGATGACAGTGAACTTGTGCAGCAGGCGGTTGTAGAGCCAGTCGAAGTGTTTGTAGCGCCTGTAGACAGGGGAGCCAGCGTGTGTGGGTGTGAGCTTGTAGGAGATGTAGCTTTTGATGCCCTTGAATTTGGTCTGTTTGGTGGGGTCCTCCACGGAGCAGGCAAATGGGTGGGGGTTGGCCTTCCACTGGGGGCCGCGAGGGCCCATTTCAATGGAGTATGTCTCAGCGATCTTGGCCATCATGGGCACGTCACCCAGGATGAAGGCCTCCACGCCAGAGCGCACAAAGCACGAGAAGCGGTTGAGGTTGCGTCCCACCACACTGCCTCGCTTGGCAGATGCCAGGCTGTCCTGCCGCTCCAGGGGTGGCTTGGGCCGGAAGGCCGTGTGTTGGCTGGGGTAGGCACCAGGGTAGGAGAGGTTGAGTGGGGGGTGCCCATTGGTGCCCAGCCCACCAGCCCGTGGCTCCTCCACCACTGTGCATCCATCATCCCAGTCATCCCAGTCATCATCATCGTCCTCCTCGAAACTACCCTGGTTTGAGAGGAAGCCACTGCCCCCCCCACTCCAGGAAGGGTCTGCCACGCTGGAGCTGTCGTATAAGCTCACCTGAGTGCCCAGAGAGCCTGCAGGACTGCTGGAGTAGTCGGCATGGTTGGAGCTGGTGCCAGAACGGATGATCTCCACGTAAGAGGCAGGGAAGAGCCCTGTCTCACCGCGGCTGTTCTGGCCCTGCAGCCATCCATCCAGCGAGGTCTCGCTGAAAACAACCAGGTCCTCATCCTGCTGGATGCTGATTTCCTCCTTGTTCTCGCTGCGGAAGTCATAGAGGGCTCGGCCTTTTAGTGCCATGTCTGGGCCAGTGGTAGAGAAAGATGAGGACAGAGTCCTGCCCAGAACTGGGGACACTTGCTAGGGTGTCCAAGAATGCACTAGCAACTCAAGGTCCGCCACAGCCCTCAGTCTCTCAGCCCCTACGGCGGGGTCTCAGCACCCACAGATGGTGTCCAGCCTCCCTCTCTTCAAAGCAATGTCCACGGCCCAGAAACAGGTCTCCCTGCACATGCCTGTGAGCAGGGAGAGCTCATGTCCATGGTCTTCCTCCCTTCCTTCCTCAGCCCCTAAAAGGGAGAGTCTCTCTTCCTCCCACTCCCAGAAGAAAAGTCAAGTGACTCGGAGAAGTCAGCTCTGAGAGGGCAAGAATTTGACACTCTCCACTGGAACAATGTTCTAAAATAGAAGAGAATCACTCAGAAACCACCGTCCCAGAAACCCCAGCAGCTCTGGCTCCCAGCTCCTTCTGGCTCCACAGGCCTTGGGAGGCTCTCACATTCCTCTGTAGATCTGCTCCTTCCTCCTTCCTCCTCCTCTTCCTGGGCCACTGGGTTTTCAAAAATCCAGAAAATCCAAGAGGGGCAAGGAGAAAAGCAGCAGCCTCCTGAATCGAATCCAAGGGTGGATGTGTCCGGCTTCACAACGAGCCAGGCCGGGAAAACAAGGACTGAGGCTTACACAACAGGCCGCCAACGCTTCGACCCCGGCGGCCCGGCCCGGCCCGGCCCCCAGCCCCCAGCCGGCTGGGGCGCCCTCTCCCCGCCCCCAAGTGACCGGCCCCCGCCCCGGGGAAAGGAGGGGACGCGACGAGGCGCTCGGGCGACTTCTGGCCACTAGCTGAGTGGCCTCTTTTGTTTGCCTAATTTCTCAGCAGTTTCTGAGCCTGAAGCTGACCCAGATCTGAGTCCAAGGACCTCCGGCCAAAGGTAACCCCGCGGTAACCGGTCCCCGCACGCGGGACGTGGACCCCCACCCTTCGCGTGCACGCACACACTCAACAGGAGTTTGAAGAGTGAGCTCTGGAGAGCAGATGGCCCGGCCGACTGTCCGTCCTCCGCTCTGCCCCGCGGGGTCCCGCCGGTGGGCGGCGGGCTGCGCCCCCAGCCCGCCTTCCTCTCCAGCGTTCGCAGCCCCTCTGCGCCGCCAGTGAGAAGCCAGCTCCAAAACAACAACAAAAAAGGCGATTCCGGGAGGTGGCGTCCCGAGGAAGGAAGGAATAGCCGACGGGGGGGAGGTGAGGCGGGGGGGAGGTGAGGGGTGGGGAGAGGGAGGGAGAAGGACAAGCAGGCTGGGGAATTGGGCGAACTCCACAGCACTTCCGTGCGTCCTGGCTGGCCGCGGACTGCCCGGCTCCGCCCTCCCACTGGCCTGGGGCGCAGGAGCCGGGGCTCCCGCCTACTCCTCGCTTTTCCTTCTGGCAATCACCCTCACTCACTTGCGCTGAGATCTGGATGCGAGAGAGAAAGGAGACGGTCGGGGAATAGGGCCAGCCCGTCCGCCCTGGCTGGGAGACACCTCTCACCCCGAGGGGCTTAAGCACCGAGGGACGGAGCTCTGCGGCCGCCGCCTCGCCTCCTCGCCTCCTGGGCTCCGTCACCCTCCTGCCTTTTCCGCGACGCAAGTGAGGCAAACTCCTAAAGTTTGTGAAGTGCGGTGCTTACAAGGAGGGCGCCGGAGCCGGGACCCCGGAGAGAGGGTGGAGGAAGTGCGTGGAGACCCGCAGACGCCCCCCTCTCGTTCCCCTGCCCCCCATCCCAGCTCCTGGGAGGGGAACGGGGCCGTGGCGCCGCCCGGGGATTGCTCTCTGGAGGGGGCCCCAGAGCCAGCGGCGCCCTCCTGGAAGAAGCCTGAGAAGGTTTGGATAGTTTAGATACGGGCTGCTGCGGGTCCTAGTACCCTAGCCAGACAAGGCCAGGAGCACCCCTGTCTTGGGCGACTTCCTTCGGGGCGGGGGAAGACAAGCCTCTACATCTGTAACGACGGTAACAAGACCCGGCAGGATCGGGTTCCGTTTCGCTTCGTGCGGCGGCCGGCGGAGACTGGATGTCCTGTCTTTGCCGGCAGCACCCAGGAGAGAGGAGTGTTCGGGGTAGGGTTCCGGGAAGAGGTAAAGGGGACTTGACCCTGGGCATTGATTCTGCCAGGCACTGTGCTGGGCACTGGAGATTACAGTACAACAAGGCAGTCGGAGAGTTTGACACCCTCTTGTCAAATGACAAGTCCACCCTCTTGTTCTTCATTCATTCATTCTGTCTCTCATTCATTCAACCTTCCACTCAAGGAAACATTAACTGAGTATTCTGTACCAGGCCCCTTGGTTTACAAAGACGAATAAGGCATTGTCCTTACCTACCAGAAGCTCAGATGTGTCAGGACAAGTAAAGAGATGTTCCCTGCCCGGTGAGACCAGTGCCATGAAATGTGAATGGGAGGGCACCTATTCCAGCCTGGGTTGAGCAAGGATCAAGGAAGGCTTTCTGGAGGAGGAGGTACCTAAGGTGAAGCAAAGGCTTTGGGCCTTACTCCCCTTCCTGGCTAAGCCCTGGAGCCTTGTCTACCGCTCTAACTAGAACTTCCTTCCCCCTCATTCTCATTCCTCCCACTTGTTGCAGATGAACTGGCACAAGGTAGCACTATAAAGGTGGGCACCTTAGGCTGTTTTGAGGGGTGTAATTTGCATGCCTCTGGCTCCAAAAACCAATTTCACTGATGCAGTGAGTAGATCCAATTCCCTAGGCAGAGCTGGCATTTGGCCAGGATACAGGCTTATGTCCAAACCCCAGAAGCCCAGGTATTAACTTACACAGAGAAATTCAACTGTCAGACCCAAATATTTGTATCAATAGATCAAGGCAGTTTGGGCTGCTTCTTAGGAAGCCCAGTTACCAGAAGTTTAGCGCAGGGAACCTGGAAACCCCAGGAGGGGAAGAAAGGATGGTATAAGTCTCTCAGCCAAGAAGCCTTGAGATCTTGTCTCCCGCCATAGGGGCAGTCTTGATTCTAAGGACTCAGTTCAGCCTAGTATCTTCAGGACCAGAGCCTGAATATGTTTCCCCAGCTGCTTTGGGGGCACCCCTTTTCTTTGATCTTCTGTTCGCAGAGCCTCTCTCCAAGCTGGATTTAAGAGTAGCAGCTACTTCCTTAGTGCTTGCTGAGTGCTAGACTCCTGTAAACATTTTACCTTTATTAGCTCACTTAATACAATTGATGGGATCTCTGCTCACCCAGCTAGGGCCCTAGTGTAGCCCCACCCCACTGAGGGGCCCACAGCCACCACCCTGGTGGTCTTTAGTTGGTTCCCAAATACTTCAGTCCCATATTTATGCACATTTACACCTTGGATTTACTCTCATATCTGTTCAGGGGTGGAGGGAGGGTGGTTTCTATCTCACAGTGGCCACCTTATTTCCAGGTTCTTGGGGGAAACTCATTCTGCAGCTTCACAGAGATTTCCAGAACCTATATCTTCTATTTCCAACCCTCTTCACACCTCTGGGTAACAGGGCCTGCAGTTACTAATCTCAGGCAACTGCACTAACTTTTGTGGTTCCCTACACCCTGCCCATGCCTTTGGAAAAAGTCCCTTTATTAAATTCTCCTCACATTACTCTAATTGGAGTGTGTTCTCTCTTTCCTGATGGGACCCTGATTTGGACACAGGAAACAGCATCCATCCCCCATCCAGATAGCTAACTTTCCTCCTTTAGGAAAGGAATCAGCAAGGGAGAACTGTGGCCAGTGGTTTCCAGGCTGACTCCACTGGTGGCAGCGTGGTGGACACACTGGACTATTACTATAGTGATGCAGACAAGAGATGATGAGGGCCTGAGGTAGGGCAGGGGTAATGGGCTGGGGAGAAGTAAATTTGAGATTCTATGGGGGTAGAACAGACTGGAATGACAACCAACAAGATGTAGGTATTGAGGGAAAAGTCAACCCACATCTTTAGAACATAGATTCTCAACTCCACTTTCCCCACCAGCTATTTCCCCATTTATGTGCTCACCTTTGCAGCAAATTCCTCAAAATAGCCATCTCTACTAGCTGCCTGCAACATCTTTCCTCCCTTTCTCTTCTTAAACCCCTCTAGCCATTCTTTCACCCTCACACTCCACTGAAACTATGCTTATCAAAGTCATCAGTGACCTAATGGCTATTCTCAGCCCTCCTCTTAGCCTCTCAGTAGCATTGGACCAGGTTGATCACTACTTCCCCCTGGATACACTGTCTTCACTTGCACTGGGGAGACCATACTCTCCCGGTTTCCCTTCTACTACACTGGTTCATCCGCTTCTCTCCAATAATTCTTTTCTTTTTTTAAGATTTATTTAATGGATGCTTTTGGGGTCTTCGCAGACCAGGGCTCGAACCCCTGTCCCCTGCATTGGCAGGAGGATTCTTAACCACTGCGCCACCAGGGCAGCCCCTCTCCAATAATTCTTAACACTAGAGTGACTATTAGTTAAGTGGTCCTCTTGTCTTTTTCTCTCTATATTCACTTCTTTGACGATCTCACCCAGGCTCATGGCATCCAACACCATCTTTCTACCAATAATACCCCAAATTTTAAATCACCAGCCCAGGCCTTTCTCTAAAATACCAGACTCAGGGAATTCCCTGGTGGTCCAGTGGTTAGGACTCCGCACTTCCATTGCAGGGGGCACGGGTTCAGTCGGGGAACTAAGATCCTGCATGCCGCAAGGTTTGGCCAAAAATAAAAAAGTAAAAATAAAAAATAAAATACCAGACTCACATATCTTTCTCCTTGACATCTCCCTTTGAATGGCTAATAGACATCTCCAACCGAACATGTCCAAAATTGAATTTCTAATCTTGCCCCCCAAATCTGACCTATTTGGCAGCCTTCCCCATCTCAGGTGATGAGTACTTTCTTCCACTTGCTTAGGTCCCAAACTGGAGCCATCCTTTGACCCTCTCCTTATTCTGGGACTCCTCTCTCATTGGCATCGCACAGCTGCTTTCCTGGTCCCAGCTACCACCTCTCTTGCGTGCACCACCACAACAGCTTCCTAATGGCCTCTATGTTTCCAGCCCTGCCTCCTGAGAATATGTCTATTCTCAACATAGCAGTCAGAGCGATCCTTTTAAAACATGTTAGATGTCAATTCTCGGCTCAAGACCCTTCAGTGTCCTCATCTCACTTAACCTAAAAACCAAAGTCCTTCAAAGAGCCTATGGAGCCTCTGTTATCTGAGCCCCCTTTCCTCACCCCCTAGAGCACTCTGCTCCAACCAAGATGGCTTCGTTATTCTTCTTCTGATATGCCAGGCACATTCCTGTCTTAAGGCATTTGCACTCACTGTTTCCTCTTCATGAAATGTTCTTCCCCTAGATATCCACATGGCTAACCCCCTATGAAATATCACCTTCTCAGTAAGACCTACCCTGACATGCCCTGCTTAAAATTACAGCCCATCCTCATCCCAAGCTCTCCTATATCCTGCTCAGTTTTGTTTCATGACACTTATCACCCGCTAACATATATAGTTTACTTATTTATTATGTTTATTGTCTGGGGAGAAGGAAGTTAACCAAAGTCCTCCTGCAGACACATTGAGCAAGGGCTGAAGATAGAAGGGAGTGAGGCTGGGGGAGTATGAAGGGTGGGGATAAAGTGCAAACTGGGAAAAGGTATTTGCACCATAGATAACTGATTAAGGATTAATATCCAGAACATACAAAGTACACCTTCAAATCAATTAGAAAAAAGCAAACAGTCTGTATTAGTTTCCTATTGCAGCTGTAACAAATTACCACAAACTTAGTGGCTTAAAACAACACAAATTTATTATCTTACAGTATTAGAGACCAGAAATTCAAACTGGATCTCACTCGGCTCAAATCAAGGTGTCAGCAAGGGCTATGTTCCTTCTGGAGGCTCTAAGTAAAATTCCATTTCCTTGCCTTTTCCAGCTTCTAGAGGTTGCCCACACTCCTTTGCTCATGGCCCCCATTCATCTTCAAAGCCAGTAATCACACCTCAGACTTCTGTATGTATCACCACATCTCCCTGACTCTTCTGCCTCCCTTTTTCACTTATAAGGACACTTGTGATTACATGAGACTCACCCAGTTAATCCAGGACAATGTCATGGTCTCAAGATCCTTAATTTAATCACATCTGCAAAATCCCTTTTTTCATGTAAGGTAACATTCACAGGTTCTGGGTGAACATCTTTGGGGGGCCATTATTCTACTTACCCCATAATCCAATAGAAAAATACACAAAAGACACAAAGAGGCATTCTATAGAGGAGGAAACACATATGAAACCTTTATTCATCAGGAAATGCAAATTAAAATCACAGTTAAATACCATCACACACTCATCAGATTGGCAAATATTTTAAAAATCTAACAACCAAGTGTTGTCAAGAATGAGGAGCAAAGGGAACTCCCATGCACTGTCAAAGGCATATAAACTGGTACAGCCCCTTTGGAAAACAATTTGGCAATATCTAGTAAAGCTCAACATGCACTTTACATGTTCATGCATACTTTACATGCATACTTTACAACTGAGCAATTCAACTTCAAGATGTATACTATTCAACAGAAGCTACTACATATGTGCAACAGGAAACCTACAAGAATTTTAATAGTAGCACTGCTAAAAATATTCCCTCCAAAAAAATCCAACAGGAGATGGATTAATAAATTAGATAGAACCAAACAATGGAATATAATGCAACAGTTAAAAAAAAAACTGCAGCTACAGATAAAAAACTCCACACGATGTGATGTCTTCTAAGCAACACTTCTCAAATGTCAATGTGCATGCAAATTACCTGGGGGTCTGGTTAAATGCAGATTCTGATTCTGTAGGTCAGAAATGGGGCCTGAAATTCTGCATTTCCAACAGCTCTCTGCTGATCCATGGACTACACTTTGAGTAAGAAGGTTCTCAGTATTTAGGGATGCATTTACAATGATAAAACTATTTTCCTTTTTAAATTTTTTTAAATTAAAAAATTTTTTCTTTTTAAACAAAAGGTAAAAATAAACACTAAATTCAGGAGAGTAGATACCTTTACCTCTCACTGGGGGAGTGGCTGGAATATGTAGATGAAGTGGTCCTGGTGATGCTTTCTTAAACTGGCTCTTGGGTCCACAAGTATTCATTATACTTTGTATCTTACATATAGTATATTCCATATATCAAATATTATATTTAAAAAAAACAATGAGAAGCGTACAAAAATAAAACAAAATGATAGGCGAAGAAGCTAGGTGGCGTCAAAGTCTTGGGCAAATAAAGAAGTTAGTCCTGTAGCGCTACACTAAGCTAAAACAGATATAACTAGCAGAAAAAGTGTTAAGTTAAATAAATACTCGGCACCAGAAATGCACCCTGTCAAGCTAATTCGTTTGAGCCCGGATTAAAGGGTCAGCACTTGTACTATCCAAGCTTTTCAAACTTACTGGGTTTTATGAATCACCTGGCATTCTTGTTAACAATACAGATTTCCAGGTGACTCCGGTGTAGATCCCGATTCTGTGGGTGTAGGAAGCAGCCTGGGAAACGGTATTTCATAGGTTCGGTGGCGCCTAGCCCCACTTGGCAGGGAGAAACCGTTCCGCCCGCCTGCTAATGGACCTGGCGCTAGTGGGCGGTGGACATACCCGATCAGCCCCGGCCGGCTCGGGGAAGCCCGCCACGAGGTGGGAGGACCCCCCCGCCCCGCCACGGTCAGCACAGTAAATTCAACCAAACTAGCCCGACAGTCACCCCCCTTTCCCGGAACTGGTCTCTTAAGCCAGTTTCAGAGAGGCACTGAATGGCAGAAATCTAAATGAAAGGAAATAATTACGGCACTAGGTGATTAATTCTAGGCGACTTAAAACCGCGCAGACTCGTCTTTGGGCCCTCCCCTCTCGTCCCAGGTGTCTACCAGCGCTCTTTCCCCGCCTCCCTCAGAGAACGCGAAGAAGAGAAGAATCGCGAGATACGGACGCGGGGCGTGGCCCCACCCTGACCAGTGGAAACAGAGGGCGTAGCACTGAGCCTTTCTTTTATTGGCCCAGGGTCCCCAGGCCCGGTCTAGCAGCGCTGAGGCGGAAGTCGCGCGGGCGCCGGAACGCGCGCTGAGCCACGGGTGCTGCAGCATCCAAGCCGCCGTCATGGTGCGGAAGCTTAAGTTCCACGAGCAGAAGCTGCTGAAGCAGGTGGACTTCCTGAACTGGGAGGTCACCGATCACAACTTGCACGAGCTGCGCGTGTTGCGGCGTTATCGGCTGCAACGGCGCGAGGACTACACGCGCTACAACCAGCTGAGCCGTGCTGTGCGCGAGCTAGCGCGGCGCCTGCGGGACCTGCCGGAGCGCGACCCGTTTCGCGTGCGCTCCTCGGCCGCGCTGCTGGACAAACTGTATGCTCTCGGCCTAATCCCCACGCGCGGGTCTCTGGAGCTCTGCGATTTCGTCACGGCCTCGTCCTTCTGCCGCCGCCGCCTGCCCACCGTGCTCCTTAAGCTGCGCATGGCGCAGCACCTCCAGGCCGCCGTGGCATTCGTGGAGCAGGGTCACGTGCGCGTGGGCCCCGACGTGGTCACCGACCCCGCCTTCCTTGTCACGCGCAGCATGGAGGACTTCGTCACCTGGGTTGACTCGTCCAAGATCAAGCGGCACGTGCTGGAGTACAATGAGGAGCGTGATGACTTCGATCTGGAAGCCTAGCGGGTCTTCCCTCGCCAAGACTGCATTTTATTGGTGGGGAAGCTGAGACCTGATGCCTGAGAATCTGTGAAGGCGCCCTCCCCAAGAGTGTGTCAGCCAAGAACTTGGCTCCTCAGCTACAGGCCCTCACAGAGCCAAAGGGTACGCCCTTTTTCCACAAAATTTTCTTAGCCTTTGGACAATTGGTAATTAAATGACTGCCTTAAGAGACAATGGGAAGCGGTTTTGCGCTGCCCTGGGGAATTGTTACATTCTTGTACCTGAAACATTGTAGTGTGAAAGCAATGACTTTTGGCGGGGGGGGGGCCTACCCCCGGGGGCTACCCCCGCCCCCAGCTTTCCTTTCATTTCTTTGTAGCAGGACAGTTTAGTTTAATTTGTATTTAACCCGAATTCTTGCGCTTGTTCGTGATTAAGCTGTGTACAGATGTTGGAGAGTTTGGTCTCAAGTTTTCATATAAAGTGGATGAGATTTTAGTGTTCAGAGTCCTTTCTCTTGTTTAAAGGAATGCTCTCCTAATGCCAATAACTGGCCTAACTGCTCTTTAAGTGCAAATTTCTGTCTGGGTTTCTCACATAGGATCACATCTATAAGTCTCCCTGGCTCAGGAATCCAGAGAAGACTAGAGACAGCAGCGATCTGCCTGCAGCAGAGCCTGCGTGTGGAGGTTGCAGAATGTTGTACAGGGCTGGGCAAATTTGTCAGTTTACCAATCCCTTCCTCGGAATGAGTGTTTTGGCAGAGCTCTTCCCCACAGGACTTCCTGTTGATATTCCAGCCCCAGGAAATACCATATTAGAGGGCTGAAGTGTTTGCTTGCCTAAGGAAATAATCACCCTGTAGCTTGGCCATCTAGCGGTTAGAAGTGGCCCAGGAGGTTCCTGGAAACTTCTTATGAATGGAGCCCTCAGGAGGCCCCAGGGCTGCCTTCCCGGAGCAGCACCTGCACAGCCTCTGCCCATCACAGCCCACCATGGCTCCCTGCCCAGCCTTTAATTTAGACAGAGATTAATTCTAATTCCCCAATTGGAATGGGTTTTACTGAAAGAAGCAAAGGATGGGTTGGGAGTCAGGGTGCCTAGCCTGATGACAGAGGAGGAATGTGAAGCAAGATCTGCTCTAATCCACTCCCCTCACTGGAAGGGAGAGTAGGGAGACTACCTCATTTATCCAAGACTTCTACAGGGAGAATAATAGAATGCCAAGACCAATGGATTGTTTTTCTGTGTGCCTTCTCCATTTCCCCAGGTGTAAGGCAGCATTTGGTGAAGAAACAAGGGAAGGTGACACTAGGGATGACAGTAATAGCAAATGCTTCTACTGTATGTCAGGCACTAAATGCATTACATATCTTAATCCATTTAATCCAACAATCCAATGACGTGGGGAGCCCAATTCTCTACTTTTCAGATGAGGCAACAGAGGCAGAGATGGGTCAAACTGCCCCAGATTGTATAGCCAAGAAGTGGTAGAGCTGGGATGCTCCTTTAAGAGTCGTGTGAACATTGGCACAGCCAGCGCAAGGGATACATCAGGATTTAGAGAGAGTCCCTGAATCAGTTTCTAAGCCAGCAGAGAAGCAGCAGCACTAGCCAACGTTGTTGGTCCCCAACAGGGTGCTGTGTAAAGGTTTGAACAAGGAGCAGACACTGAGCTGCTAAGCCTTGGCTAACATTCATTGAGGCCCTGCTTGTGCTAGGCTGCCCATTTACTCTTCCCAACAACCCTGACAGGTAGGTGGTGTTATTCACACCTTTTCAGTTTGGCAAACAGATTTGGGACAAGAACTTGTCCAAGACTGTGGTTCAAGTCCAGGCTCATGCAACTCCAAAGGCCATGTTTTTTTTCAGTGCCATTCCTTTAGGAGAGGAAGGAGAGAGAATCCCATTCATCAGCTCTGGTGGCTGGGCATAATCTTTGCCCATTTGAGGAGGGATCCCAGGATTAGGGATCTCATCGGGGGAGAGTCTGGTGGCTCTAGAAAGCAGGAACCCCCTGCAGCCCTCCAGCTCTCACCAGGCCCCACAGGGCAAGACAGGTAAACTGGTCCCTTTGGTGTAGTTGAATCCTGCCCTTATTACCCAAGTAGATACAACTTCAAAGTTCGCTTGAAGGAAACTGGGTTTAGGAACTTAGGAGTAAAATTCAAGATTCTTCAGAAAAGCTATTCCTTTTCTCCTTTGGGGGAAAATGAAAAAGAAATGACTTACCAGAACCTGTAACCAGAAACTTTGGGCTTTAAAAAAAATAATAAAATTGGGGACATCCCTGACGGTCCAGTGGTTAAGACTCTGCGCTTCCAATGCAGGGGGCGCGGGTTTGATCCCTGGTCAGGGAACTAAGATCCCACATGCCATGTGGCGTGGCCAAAAAAATTTTTTTTAATTAAAAAAAAATGGGGGACTTCCCTGGTGGTCCAGTGGTTAAGACTCTATGCTACCAATGCAGGGGGCACAGGTTCAAGCCCTGGTTGGGGAACTAAGATCCCGCATGCCGCACAGGGCAACCAAAAAGAATAAAAAATAAAACTGCAAGACAAGCGATTCAGAAGGAGGCTAAAGCCGGACTGCCAGGTCTGGATTGGGGCTTCTGTGCCTAACTTGCTGTGTAACATTGATTATTTTACTTAGCCTCTCTGTGCCTCCATTTTCCTTGTCACAGATACATGGTAATAGAGGGTGGGAGGAAAGAATGCAAAATTATTGTTTAATGGATCCAGAGTTTCTATTTGGGGCAATGAAAAAAATTAGGAAATAATGGTGGTGATTGCACAACATTGTGAATATAATTAATACCACTGAATTGTACACTTAAAAATGGCTAAAATGACAAATTTTATATATATATATATGTATATATATTTATATATATTTACCACAGTTTTTAAAAAGTGAAAAAAAGGGGGGTGGGTAATAATAGTACTGACATTAAAAATTATAGAGAGGGACTTCCCTGGTGGCACAGTGGTTAAAAATCCGTTCAGTACCTGGTACAGGAAGATCCCACATGCCGCGGAGCAACCAAGCCCATCTGACACAACTACTGAGTCCACATGCCACAACTACTGAAGCCTGCGCACCTAGAGGCTGTGCCCTGCAGCAAGAGAAGCCACCGCAATGAGAAGCCCGTGCACTGCAACGAAGAGTAGCCCCCGCTTGCTGCAACTAGAGAAAGCCTGCACACAGCAACAAAAGACCCAACGCAGCCAAAAATTAATTAATTAATCAATTAAAAATTATAGAGAGAAGTAAATGGCATAATTCCTACAAAGCCCTAAGAGAAGCTCCTTGCATGTGGTAAAACCCCAAAGCTGAGCTCCCCACCTGCTATCTCTCCCCAGGCCCCAGAAGAAGTACAGGGAGCTAAACATTTTACAACAAAAAAAGCCTAATGGATTACAACAATGTAAACACAGTGGGCAGCAGGGCAAATTGGTACCTTTCAGGAGAGCAGTTTTACAACATGTATCAAGAACCTTAGAAACATACATTATATACCCTTTGACCTAGAACTGCCACTTTCAAGAATTCAGCTTAAATTAATTATGGATATTTGCAAAAAATTAACTACAAGGATCTTCATCACTGTGTTTATAATATAATATAACAGAGAAAAATTGAAAATGTATCCACAAGGGACTGATTAAATTACTAGATAGCCTTATGATGAAGCTCAACTACTAAAACTTATTGTAGCAAGATAGTTAATGACTCAAAAAGTTAACAGTTAAATAAAACATAAAACAGTGCCAATAGGGGCTTCCCTGGTGGCGCAGTGGTTAAGAATCTGCCTGCCAATGCAGGGGACGCGGGTTCGTGCCCCGGTCCGAGAGGATCCCACATGCCGCGGAGCGGCTGGGCCCGTGAGCCATGGCCGCTGAGCCTGCGCGTCCGGAGCCTGTGCTCCGCAACGGGAGAGGCCACAACAGTGAGAGGCACCGCAAAAAAATAAATAAATAAATAAATAAATAATGGTGTGTAGCAAACCCAACCCAAAACTCAAGAGCTAAAACAATAAGCATTTATTTAGCTCATGAATTTGCAGGTCAGCTGGGCACTTCAGATCTTTGCTGGGCTCACGTAGAATTTGTGATTGAATGTGTGCTGGATTAATGACTCTGCTGACCTTGACTGTGCTTGCCCTTAAGTCTGGGGGTAGGCTGGCTGGCTGTCAGCTGGTCTAGGATGCCTTGGCTGGGGTAACTGTGGCAACTTGGCTGGGATGCATTTGTCTCATCCTTCAGCAGCAGCAATTAACCTGCATGACATTTTAATATTACTCTCAAGTTGCCTGTGGTGGGTATGACTACCCAAGAGAGTGGCTCAGGCACAATGGAAAACTAGCTATATCACCACCATGGCCCCCAGGATGAGGCCCTGCATACAGTAGGTAATTAATAACTGCTTCAAATTCAGCCTCTTTGTTGTGACCAGCTAGGCTGGGATCAAGGTGAGGCAAGGGAGGCACCTAGGGCACTTGTCAGACCCCAAGAATGAGCACCTCCTTACATTTTGCACCCTAGGTCCTAGAACTGTACACTTCATATTGGGACTTGAACCCATGTGCCGGGACTCGAACCCAGCCAAAACCCACGGTCTTCCAACTGAGATCACACACCTGGTTTCAGGACTTAATGAAGCTCAGGCTCTTGATGTCTCATGGCAGAAAGAATTCAGTGAGAGACAAAGTGATAGGTGAGAAGTGGATTTATTTAGAGAGAAACACACTCCACAGTCAGAGTGTGGGCCATCTCAGAAGGTGAGAAAAGGCACCAAGGTATGGGTTGTCAGTTTTTATAGGGGTGGGTAATTTCATTTTTTTAAAATTTTATTTTATTTATTTTTTTATACAGCAGGTTCTTATTAGTTATCCATTTTATACATATTAGTGTATACATGTCAATCCCAATCTCCCAATTCATCCCACCACCACCACCCCCCACTCCCCTGCCACTTTCATAGGGGTGGGTAATTTCATAGGCTAATGAGTGGGAGGAGTATTCCAACTATCTCAGGAAGGGGCGGGGATTTCCAGAAATTGGGCCACCTCCACTTTTTGATCCTTATGGTGGGTCTTGGAACTGTCACAGCGCCTGTGGGGTGCCATTTAGCTTGCTGATGTGTTACAGTGAGCATATACTGAGGCTCAAGGTCTAGTGCAGGTCGACTTGTCTGCCATCTTGGACCCATTTGGTTCTAATCAGATTATGTCATGTCCTCGGGCTATGTCATTCTTTCAAAGGTTGTGCCCTGCCCCTTGCCTCCTGTTTCACTCCATTTGCCTCTCCTTAGCTCCAGCCCTGGTGATAGGCATGGTGCTCTCAAAGCAAGGGAGAAATGAGTACAGAGGAGGCACGGTCCCTATCCTGAGAGGACAGAGGCTACAGTAAGCTGGCTACTTACATCTCTGGGTTCAGCTCTGGGCTCGGCCAGCCCAGCCAGGCCTCATGCTGTGTTTCCCAAGGTCTGGTCATTCTGAACCATTATCACACCATTTGCCATAGCCGCTTCCCACTAGTATTATAGTATAGTAAAGAATTTAACATTGC